TTTTTTTTTTTTTGGTTATAAAAATGAATTTCATATCATAACAACAGCATCATGTTTGTTGCTTGTATTTTTTGTTTGTTTGTTTGTTTATGTTTTTTATTTTCAAAACAACAACAACAACAACGACAACGACAACGACATATTCTGTGTCCCAAAGGAATCTTATCAAATTATGGCCATGTTTTTTTTTCTCATTGCTCATGTTGTCATATTCATTAAAACATAAACTATTTGGATGAACAACAAAAAAAATTTTTTTCCTACAAACATTCAGTATGGCAGAAAAAAAATTCAGTACAAATCGGTGTCATCATTTTTTTTTTTTTAATTCATTCATTCCTTTTCCTTTGAAATAAATTTTCTTTTCATTTCAATTCATTGCATCCATCATCAATATGATTTGAACCAAATTTTTGACAGCTTAAATTTGGATTCAAACACGATGCAAAATGAACGTGAAATTTATAGAGAAAAAAAATGAAATGAAATGAAATGAAATGAGCAATAACAAAACTTTCGGCAAAATTCTGATTGTTTGCAAAAAAAAACCATCATCATCATCATCATCATCATTATATGTAAGATGATTGAAAACTAAAGAAAAAAAAATGAACAGAAAAACGACAAAAAAAATTATTTTTCCATCAATTCCGTTCTATATTTGATTATGTGTCAATCGAAAAAAATGATGTGTGTGTGTTTGATATTTGATGCTAGAAAAAAAACCACACACACACACACATCATTTTTTCGATTAACATCCAAATAAAGAGTGAGAGAGTGTGTGTTTTCACTAATCAAATCCAGAAATTCAACAACAACAGCAGCAGCAGAGAAAAAAAAAAAGTTTGAAAAACATATTTTTTTTTCCTGTGCATATTCCGTTGAATGATTGAATCAAATGAAAAAAAAACGAAAAAATTATTCATTTACGGTAGTCAAAAACAATTATTTGAACAAATGAAGAAAATTGGTTGAATTAAATTTGTGTTTGTGTGTGTGTGTGTGTGTATGAATGGAAAAAATGAATTTGTGCTGCTGTCATGTGGTTTGTTCAAATTTTGTTTCTCTTGCTATTCATCTGTTATTACTCGTGTTTTTTTTCTCTCTCTCTCTCTCTCTATTTCGAGTTCTTATCCGTTATCCGATTTTTATTTTCTATTCGTTAATCAAACACATAAAAATTCTGGTTTATGTGTTTGTTGTTTCATTTTACTTGATGACCATGGTCATATGACATTGTCATCATGATGATGGTGATTAAAAATAATCACCATAAAAAAATAGACGATTATTACTGTTGTTGTTTGGTTTTTTTTTTGGTTCACTTTCAAGTAATTCTAGCCAGTTGTTTTGTGTGTGTTTTGTTTGGTCAATTTGATTAATCTGTGTATAATCGATTTTTTTTTCAATTCTCTCTATTTTTCAAATCAATTATAATAAATAGTTTGACATTGTATTCAATCGATTCTGATTAAATTAAAAATTATTATTCTGTTCATCATCATCATCATCATCATCACAAGATGCGAACACAGGCAACACAGACTGAACCAATAATAACCAATGAGCTTCAACAACAACAACAACAACAACAACAACAACATCGACAACAACGTACAGGTCCAATAGGATTATCAACATCATTATATACTGTATCCAATCATAATCAATTATTGACAGCAACATCAATCAATCATCTTTCAAATCATCAGTTAATCAATGATGATGATTATGATGATCAATATTCATCGACAACAAGACGACAAACATCAGCCAATAATAATAATAACAATACAAGACGTTCCGTTTCATATCAATTTCTTTCAACAGCATCCATATTTGATGGTTGCTGTCCAACTGGTTGCTGTTTAGAATCGGCTACAGCTGATAATTTAACAATTTTACATCATCATCATCATCATCATCATGGTGGTTCATCCAAATCATTAAGATCATCAACAAGTTCACATAAAGTAAATCATTTTATTGATGATGATTATTCTAATTATGGTGATGATTATTATTATGATGACGATAATGATATAATACAAGATTATCATCTCAGTACTGCACCACTTCCTCCACCGCCACCACCACCACCGTCATCTTCATCGAATATTATTAATGCTCAACGTCATCAACCAAGACGATCGCAAAGATATTCATCATCAACAACAAGTCGAGAGAGTCATCAATTTATAATACGTACAATACCATCATATTTAAATCTATCACCACGTGCATCATATCATCGACTTAATATTAAACATCCACCGAATGAAATTTGTCAACATTCAAATGAATTACATGAAAAACATACTGCAACATCTGGTGATACAATACTATTATGTTGTACAACAATTATTGATGATTCACAATGGAAAGATTCATTATCAACAGTAGAATCTGTTACGTACAATAATCGTACATCATTAATAATGAATCGTAATAAATCACCACAATCATCGACAATTAATTATATAATGAATGATGATTCAAAAATGAAAACTGGTGTTGGTACTAAACCACCAATACCGGTAAAACCAAAACATATTGTTACACGTACCATAGGACAAAATATTAGTGGTAAAACAGTGAAAACAAAAACAATAATATCCAATATGACAGCCATCGATTTTGCTGAACAATTAAGTTCAAAGATAATACAATCAGCCAAAAAAAGTGCCAATCTAAATCAACAAAATAGATCATGTTCAAAATGTGGAATCATTTATGATTCATCAACAATAACACCAACAACAACGTTGATTATACCGAATACAGGATTGATGACAATTTATAATAATAATAATAATAATAAAAAAAATGATGATGATGAAGGACCATTATCAACAATAGATCCAATAGAATGGTCAAAATTTAATGATGATCAACAACAACAACAACAACAACAACAATGGCAATCAATAATGGTAAATGGTAATCTGGATCATCATCATCATCATCATCATCAATTATTATCACAACAATCATCATCATCACAATCGAAAAAAATTATAACAACAACATTATCATCATTATTTGATGATAATAATAACAATAATAATTATAATTATTCACAATGTTGTTCAATTAATTCATTACAAGCTATACAATATTTTGGTGAAAGTCATAAATCATTTTCAGAAAGTGAGCTTTATTTACAACAACAACAACAATCAAGATCTAGTTTTAATTATTCTAGTCAAAGTAAGTAGTGAAAAAAAATGTATAAAAATTGAAATCGAAATTTCATCATTGAAGTCATCAAATCAATGGTAACAAAGTGAAAAAACCTTTATTTTTTGCTGTTTTTGTAGAAAATTTTGATGATCAAACACAAATTCTACAAAGGAAAAATTCCCGATTGTTTATTGTTGTTTGATTTTATTTGATTTTTCCATTAATCAATCGTTTTTTTTTTGTTTTTATTTTGTTTTGTTCTGTTTTTCAAATAGACATCAAACAGATATTACATTCTGGATTGATTCGTAGACATTCAGCAATTGCTGATCTGGCAGTTGAAACACAATTGATTGATCCAAGTGTATTTGAAACAATTGCTACTCCACCACCCGGTTTTGATGATAAAGATATTGTTGATCATCAACAACAGCCATGTGATGTAATGTCGTTATCTATTTCATCATCATCATCGTCGTCGTCGTCCTCTTCATCATCATCATCATCATCACCATTGGCACCATCATCATCATCATCAAGAATTGAGGATCAAACCGATGATGATTATGGAAAACTTCGTATTAAAGGTAGACATCATCATCATCATCATCATCAGCGACAATTACGACAAAATAATTGCCAATATTTAAAAGAAAAACGTTCACAACATCAGCAAAAATCGCTACAATCACAAATGAAAATAACACAACAACAACAACAACAACAACAACAACCAGCATCTCCAGCATTAGTGGGTCAATTATCGATTATATCACCAGAAAGTGAACAATCATCACAGGTAACATCAGTGACTAATTGTAGTGAACTTCTTCAAACAACTGGAACAACATTTAGTTCAGAGGGTACCGGTTCAGGTTCAGCATATCCATTTACAATTGATTATCAACAACCGGGACCAAGTACAGAATGTACTGGTGGTGGTGGTGGTAGTGTACCAACAACAACAGCAACGAATAGTGGTAAATTTCAGCCACAAAAATTAATTGCATCCGGTAGTAGTAGTAGTGGTGGTGGTCGTATTCTCATGGGTGGTTATGCTTTAGATTTTGACGATGATGACGATGACGATAATGATGATGATTATGATGATGATGAAGTATATGAAATGGAAACAACTGGATCTGAACATAATCAATTCGGTTTTCATCATCATCATCATCATCATGATAATCATGTGGATGCTGATTTTGCATTGGCTGAAGGTAGTAGCCAAGATGATGAAGAAAAAGCTAAATTTGAATTTGAATTTGAAACAACCGAAGATGATGTTGGTAATGATGAATATGATATGGATAATATGAATGTGATTAATAATGATGATGAACAATTATTTAATGATTCAATAATTTTAAATAAAATTAAACGACCAAATGAACTCAATGTTGGTATTGGATCAAATCAATATCGATCCAATAATAATAAAGAAACAAATGTTGGATCATCATCAACGAAAGCAATAATGATAAATAATGATAATGATGATGATAATAACGTTATTTGTGAACAAAATTTGAATATTGAAACAACAACAACAACAACAGCAGCAGTAGCAGTAGCAGCAGCAGCAGCAGTTATCACTTCATCACCTGGACGTGTTGTTTCACATGGCACTAGTAAATCATTACCAGAGAATCTTTTCCGTTCAGTTGATGATGATCCAGAAATGATGATGAAAAAATCACCAAAACATTCAAATAATAATGATGGTGAACGTGTTCGTTTATCACGCGCTAAATCAAGTACAATTGGACGTAGACGTGATTCAAATGATCGTTATTCTGATCATCATCAATTATCACAAAACAATCAACAATATAGACAACAACATAAACATTACGATACAATTGATTCAACAAGAACAGCAAGTGATTTAACACCTGTGCAAGATATTTATAGTTCAGATCCGTCCACAACAATTGATTTATCCATTGCAAATACTGTAATTGAAAAACAATTTCAACAAAAAGATGGTGATTACGATGATGATGAAAATAATGAACGATCTATTGATGATAATGAAAGTAAACTTCGTCAAATATCACAAGATAAAACGAAAAGATTTTCTGCCGAAATATTTGAAGAATTAAATATAACACCAGAAAGTTATGCTAATGGCAATCATCAAACAATTAAATCAACAGATATCGATAGTAATGATCTATGGGAAGCGGCATTAGCTACTGCTGGCCAAACAAATTCAAAAATCGAATGTTTTGATAATTCTGTTGTTGCTGCTGCTGCTGCTGATGCCTTGAATAATAATAATGTATGTGATACAATGAAAAAAACGAAAAAATTATTAGTCACTGATTTCATTGATGATAAAATAACAACAACAGCCACTATTACATTTGCACAACGAAAAGATTCACCAACAAAATCATCAACGACAACCATTCAACAGCAATCAACATCACAACAACAACAACAACAACAACCAACGAAATTTTCAAAATTTCGTCTGATGACACCATCATTACGGCAATCAATATTAAATCAAATGATTGCCATAGCTGATTCAATGGAAAACCTGGATGAATCAAATAAAACAATGAACGAAATGGAACCAATGCAAACGATAGATAAATTATCATCACAAAAAGAACAATCTTCTGATGATGATGATGAATGTCATCGAAAATTAAAGAATCAAATAATGACAAATAAAAAAATTAATAAACAACAACGACAACGAAGTATTTATGATTCAGCCAATAATAGTCGTAATAGTTGTTCACAAAATGATAATGATGATGATGATGATGATAATCAACAAGTTGATATTTGTAAATCAAATTCAACAAAAAGTTCAACAATCGATGAAGATGAAGATTCACAAACATTTTCAATTGAAAATCTACCTGAAGATAGTACAACATCAGGTAGTTTTATGTTGGATGATGTTACATCCAATAATAATAATGAAACAAGTGAAACATTGAATGGTTCATATTTTATATCAGATTCAATATCTGGTTCAACATCAAGAAATTTTTATTCAGTTTCAAATGATCTGATCGATGGTGAACAACCATTAATTGATAATAATCGTATTGGTAAAAGTGAACCAGCAACTGTATTATCAATATCGGAATTTGTTCATGGCCAATCATCATCGAATGATCAAAATTATCAATCAATGCCTTGTAACATTAATCATATTGCTGTGGCTAAACAAATTGGTGGTGAAAATCCAAATTTTTTACGTGTTCGTTTTGAACAAAGACAACGTAAAGCAATGGAAAGAAATGGTAATAAAAATATGAAAACTGCCACAACAACATCGAGTAGTAGTCAATCACAAGGTATTAAAGATGAATTTTTGTTTGCTTGATTTTTCATTTTCTTTTTTTTCATACAGATAAATCATCACATGAAGATGAAGATGATGATGAAGAAAAAAATCCAGATGACGATTATACATGTACGGATAATTTTTTTGGTAAATATCAAAAAATTCTTGATTCACAATATGAAGAATCAACAAATCGTGTGATATCGACCAATGTACATGATGAACAATCAGCAAGTCAGAAAATGGCCACATCATCTGAACATGAATTGGAAATCAATAGACAATGGAAACAAAAACAACGACAACGACTTCAATCATCACAAGCAAAAGAAATTTCATTGACAGGTCATCATCATCATCATCATCATCAACAGCAGCAGCAGCAGCAACAACAACAACAACAACATTCATCGATGGCTAATTTACATCAACAGCAGCAAAATTCGGGCAATATTAATCTAAATAACAATACTCATAATCATCAGATTGGACAACAACAACATCAACAACAATATTGTAATACAACTGATTTGTTTGAACAATCATCACAAGCTACTGAACGTGATGTTGAAAGATCAGAATTTTCATTACAGAATCAAAATTCTGAATTAGATGAAGATGAATCATTAACATTTGAAAATTTAAATAATCAAAGTTTATCTGTTATTGATGAAGATTCTAAAGGTGATCAAGAATCTGGTGCTGCAAATAATGCTCAACAACAGCAACAATCACAGCCATTATTACCTCAACCACTATCATCTAGATCTGCTCAAAATCGACGATTAATTGTTGATAATAAAAATATTAATGCTGTTGTCGATGATGAAGAAGATGATGATGATGATAAACATTTAGCCACAGGTTCAGGTGATCTGATTCAAACTTTATGTCGATTGGATAGTAGTGGCGATAAATCCGAATTACTTGAAGAACGTGATCTGAGTTTAGAAGCAGTTTTACAAGAAGAAAGTAAAGAATTAGAACGTGTAAAAGCTGCTGAACTATTAAATGACAATGGCCATTATCATCACCATCATCATCATCATCATCGACATGGTAAACGCTATCATCATCAACAACAACAACATGGTAACATTGTTTCACATAATACATTGATGGACGATGCTCCAACCACTTGCCATACATCGACAACATTTCAATTGATAACAATGGATGATAGTTCTAGAGATATTCTTGACACGTCTCGTAATATTGTACATGATGATGAAGAACGTACAGAATTACGTGATGAACGAATAGCATTGTTAACATCCTTAGCAACCAATGATTCTAGTGATGGATCAGGCTTACCAAGTATTGATAATAATAGTACCAATAATAATAATGATGATAATGATGATAATATGAACATGAATGCTCGACAAAAATTCGATCGAAAAATGAAAGAAATTGAACAAAGGATTTTATCGGATAAACATCCGAATAATCAAATTGCTACAGAAAAAATATTGAAAATTCAATCGAAAAATGATCAACAACAACAACAACAACAACAACAACAACAACAAGAAACAACAAGACAGACATATGTTTCACATAATAATTCGGCTACATATTCGGAATGTAGTTCAATGACGACACCCGATAATAAAAATTTGATTATCGGGACCAATTCTGAACTTACATCGATATTGAAACATAATAAACGTGGTCAATCACAACCGCCACCAATAGCTGGCGTTAGCGTCGCTGGACAACGACAAACATCAAATGTTGTATTTGCCAATCAATCTGGCAATAATCGTCAGCAGCATCATCCATCAACAACGAATCAACATTGTTGTTCACGATGTTATCATCGTCATCATCATCATCATCATCGTCATCCAGTTGGATCGGGTAGTCATCACCGATTTTCGACAACAAGTTCATCAAAACATTCAGTTTGTTTACATCATCATAATCGTCATAATGACATTACCGTACCTAGTAATAGTATACGTACATCCAGTAATCAAAATGAGATTATTACACAGGCACGTGCTCGTTCATTAACTCGTAATCTTGGTGTTAATAATAATGCAATAACTGGAACGATTGGTCTACAAAATAAATTACAAGAAGTTCATCATGAGCAACAACAACAACAACCACAAAACCAATTAAAGGATCAAATGCCTGCACAACAACAGTCTAGACAACGATCACCTTGTAGTCAACATCATTTCACATGTAGCCATTGTGGTGAATCAACAATGCCACCAAATCTTGTGCCAATAATTCCGACAACAAGTAGATTCAAACGACGAGGAATGCCACAATTATCACGAAAATCATTCACTGTTGAAGATGTTTATTTTGATGTTGATGATGAAGAGAATGATATTGGTGTTCATTCTGAAAGTTATCGATCATCATTATGGATATATATTGGACGTAAAGAAGAGCTAAATATTTGGAATAATCTTAATCGTGCTATATTGAATTGTTCATCACAAAAATATTCTAGATGTGATATAAATCGTAAACAATTTCGATTATCAACAACAAATTCCGGTAGTGATTTAAATAATGGAAGTGATCGTAATAATAATAATAATAATACGAATTCATCATCAACAACAACGGATACAATTTCAACAACACGATCAGAATCAGAAGAAAGTACAGCATCGGAAAAGAATTTTCGTCAACGTTATGAAACTGTAACACATCGATTAATACATCGTAAAGCATCAATTGAATTATATCGTAGAATTTTGGATCAAACATTTAGTATGTAACACAATGAATATGTTATTGTTGAATTATTAAATTGAAAATTTTTTTAAAATCATCAGCCATAGATAAATGTCTAACATTGACACGTGATAATAATGAATTTGGATTCCGTATTCATGGTAACCGTCCTGTAGTTGTATCGGCTGTTGAAAAAGGTAAATATCATCATCATTTTTTTTCTGTTCTACAGAATGTTAAAATTATGTCTTTCCCCAAAAAGGAACATCTGCACAACATAAAGGTTTAGAAGTGGGTGATATAATTGTTGCTGTCAATGGTCATACAGTGTTGGATTCATCACATTCAGAAGTGGTTCGCATGGCTCATCATGGTATATTTTGATGGATTGGATAAAAAAAAAATTTCACCTTTTAACATTTTTTTATTTAAATATTTTATCAGGACATTCATTAAAATTAGAAGTTGCAAGTACAGCGGCCGCATTAAAAGCTGAAACAACACAAGCAAGTGAAAATGAGCCTAAAGTGATAATCAATGGCTATTTAAGTCGATATATTGATAAATTGGCCGAAAAATGTAGTACTAGCCGTGATAAAATGACCAATCCAAAGTTATGGAGACGACGTTGGTTTGTACTAAAATCTGATGCTTGTCTTTATTGGTATCGTAATCCAAAAGTGAGTTATTTTTTTCTTCTTCATGTATAAATGAATTGATGAAATGATCTGTGAATTTTGCCTACAACTGTATAGTCATTGGAACCAATTGGAGCCATTTCATTACAAGGATACTGTGCTGGAATGGTAAATGAATGTCTATTTGGTCAAGAACATTTATTTCGTTTAGTTGGATATAAAACAACAAGATGTAAATATCTGGCAGCTATTGATCATGCAACAGCCATACAATGGGTGAAAGCATTGAATCAAAATTCTATCCAATACAGTAATGTATGTAGTATGCAAAAAAAAGTGATGGATCCATTTTTTTCACATTTATTATCATTTTTATTCAAAAAAAAAAAAAAAAAAATTAGAGCGACGCATTCATTGAAAACACTCTACACAATATACATCGTAATCCATTGAATTTTATCAATCCAGATTGTTATGGTTTTCTTTGGAAATTCAATCAAATGAAAAAAAATTGGAAACAACGATATTTTGTATTGAAAGATGCATGTCTTTATTTTTATGCTGATGCAAATTCAACTACTGCATTAGGTTTGTGGTGAATTTATTGTTTGTCCTATTTTCATATGACAATTTTTTTTCAGGTCTATTTTTTCTTCATGGTTATCGTGTTCAGGCAAATGTCACATTCAATTTAGATAAACAACAACAACAGCAACAATCATTACCACCGGCACCACCACCAACGCCTCAACAATTAATTAATCAAACACAACAATTACAACAATCATCAATTACGGCCGAATCTCGACAACATATATTTGAAATTGTACCAAGTGATTCAAAATATAGACATATTTGGTTATGTGCTGATTCTGAATCTGATCGTAAACGGTATGTATGTGTTTGTGTGTGTTCTCTTGATACTAATCCTTTTTTTTTATTTATCATCCATTTAGTTGGACATATGCACTGGAATATTCTATTGATCGTTGGATTCGTCTTAAATAAATTATTATTCAATTGATTCTATCAAATTATTTAGTTTCTGCTATCAAAAAAAAAAAAATTTATTTTAATCTTATCTACACCAGCCACACATACACACACACCGATACACACACATGCATACATTCATACAAATGTACAAGAATTCCATTTTTTCTTCTCAATTCTAATTATTATTCTCTATGGAATTATTATATCATTATTATTATTGTTGTTGTTGTCATCATTTTATTATATAATCATCATCATCATCATTGATAATAATAATGTTATTTTTTCAGAAATAAAATCTTGATGTTTTCATTGATGATGATGATTGTTTTTTTTTTTTGTTAGATTTTCACTTTCATGAAATTTTATCCAATTACTGAAATTTTCATCATTCAGCGATGATCTAAGATTGTTCATGTGAAAAGGAAAAATGTCACAAATGGTAATTGATTTTTTTTCTTAAAAAAAAAATTTCTGTTTCAAACAAATTGAATTTGAATGGAAAGTTTTTTTTCTCTTCCGAAGAAACAGCTGCAAAATGATCAATCCAACCGTGAGTTAATTTTGTTTCACAGCAAAAAACGAAAAAAACTTCAGTTTTACTGTTGCTGTTGGTACTGAAAATTTTTCATTTTTTTCCGATTACTGTCCACTGATAAGAGGAAATTTTTTTTCTGTTCGTTTTTAAATATATTGAATTTACTCGTTTACTTTCTCGGGTTTTTATTTTATTTTATTTTTTTTTTTTTTTTGGTTGAAAATACAAAATTATCAACTAATATTTACTGTTATTCAATTTGTCGATTTGTTCAAAAATTTTTTCCCGTTTTTTTTTTAGTGGCCTCGTTCATCTTGTTTTAATCATCATCATGTGAATTATTTTTTATATTTATTTAACCAATCTATTTGTGGTTTACCTGGTTTTTTTTTCACTGAAAATCTCCTCGCCATAGTACAATGTGTATGTGTGTGTGTTTGTGTGTGGTATGTTTATTGTGGACATTCAAACGTATTTATGATGTTTTTTTTTCATATGATGATGATGAAGAAAGAAATCTATCAATATCTTTCTGGTGTGTTTATTATAAAGATTGTAAAGAGATAAAATGATTAAAGCGAAAGTATTATATGTCGAAACTAGCTTCTCATTTTTTTTTTTTAATACGATGATGATGATAATTGGTGAGAAGAGTATACGATGTGAATGAACCACCATTTAGTATATAGCGATTTATTTTATTTAGTTATATTATTATAGCACCCAAAGATAATGAAAATTCAATTTTTTTTTTATATATATAAATCCAAATCCCAAATAGACACAAAATGATCAGACATGATCATCTTGAAAATCAATCAAACGATACGAAAAAAAAATGGTTACATTCATTCATCTGACATAACAGTGATTGTTTGATGAAAATTTTTTTTATTTATTTTTTATATTTTGTTTTGTTTCGTGTCTGTGTTTTCAATATTTCCGTTTTTGACCATTTTTGTTTCCATCTTTTATTCCATCATTTCACATTTCACTCGATCAACATCAATCATCAATTGATTTATCAATCAAAAGAATGTATTAACGATAACCGGTAGTGATGAGTTTCATTGAATTTTTTGTACTGGATCAGCCAAATAATATTGGCAACATTCAATTGGCCATTGATGATGATCAATATAACAATGACAATGATGACAAAATTACAGTTGATTGTAATGAAGAAATCGTAGAAACTTGCCTGAAAAATGATGTTGATGATGATGATGATGATGATAAAATTATTGAAAACAAAAATTCTACAACAACATCAACAGCTGATAGTTATAATGGTTTAGCTGGTGTACGTTGTAATCTGTCACAATTTTTTGTCCGTTCAATGCATGAAATAATTAGTCAGAAATTTATTAAAAAAGATTTAAAACAAACAAAAGAATTTATTTTTCGACAAAAACATTTTTCACCATCACCATCCAAATGGTGTATTGATCGTGATGGACAGATTGAAAAAGTTTCACAATGGATACGTTCAATGCCAAAAGTATTGCCCAATGAAAATGGTATTGTTATGGAGAAAAAAGTTAAATTTCATGAAAAAATTACCATCGAACCAAAAGTATCGAAAATTAAAAAATCTCTTTCACAAATGGCAATGTCAACAACAACAATTAATGATGACCAATATGTTGATGATGGTGATCCACCAATACAATTAGATGAAACTGTTTATGAAATTCTTGAAAAAATTTTTCAAGCTACAATTGAAAATGCTGTTACAACCATAGTGAATGATGGTCATCATTCTGATTGTTCATCATCATCGTCGTCATCATCAGATTCTACATCATCGATATCGGCACCAACATCACAAGTGATTCAGACAACAACAACAATTGATGCAAAAAAGCAACCATTATCTTCGATACAAGAAAATTCTAACAAATTAATGTAAGTATATCTTGTCGTATGTTCAATTGAATCTGATTTTTGTTCATATTTTTATATTCTATTCTATTTATAAATCAGGAAAAAAATTATCAAAGTTTGTAAACATCCTGGTAAACATGTGGCATGTATTCAGGACATTAAAAAGGTTCGTAAATCAATAATGTGATAAAGTCCAAAAAAATTTTTTTTTTGTTTCAAATATTCAGAGTCTGACATTATTTTCCGAACTTATTCGTGGCCATCATCATTTTAGCTGTTCAAGGTATGTGTGTTTACAATTGGAATTTGATTTGATTTCTGAAAAAATTGCCACACATTTTTTTTTCTAGCTGTCGTGAACGTAATATTAATTGTCAATGTTTGGACATTCAACAACAACAACAACAATCCGATGATGATTGTGATGAACATGGTAACAACGATAATGCAACAAATGGTAGAAAAATTTTACAAAGAAAATCAAAATTTTCCAACAAATATCATCATGGATATTATCCACATCATAATCATCATCATCAATATTATTATTACAATGGCATGGCTCAAATGAATACCTATCATCATCATCATCATCATCATCAATATTATTATTATCAACAACAACAACAACGGAATAATTTTAAAAATCATCTAAGACGTACAAAATCATATTTTAGTTTCAATATAAATGAATTTTCAGTAACCAGTAGCAATAACAACAACGATTGTAATGAAAACCAAATTGATTGCAACAAGCAACAAAATGATCATGGTAAAAAACGAATATGGCCATATATTTAACTGGAATTTTATTCGCAAAAAAAAAAAATTTTATTCGTGTGAAAAAAAGAAAGAAAAAACAAAAATGAATTTTCAAGAAAAAAAACCAAGATTATCCGATTACTATTTTTAAAAAAACAAAGCAGTGAATAAAATGAATGAATTGAAAGAAAAAAAATGAAGCCAATTTGAAATTTTAAATTCCATCAAAGAATAAAAAAAAAAAAAAAATAAAAAAAAAAATTCCGCCAAAAGTTAAAGTTGATCGGATTTATTTTGGTTCATTTTCTATGTTGTTGTTGTTGTTGTTGTTGTATCTAACTGAATTTGTGGAAATAAAAATTTTTGGTCCATAGTGTTTAGCATTTCATTTAGATGGCGATCTCAATATTTTCTGGTTTCGAAACATTTTCACTTAATTTTTCACCTTTTTTCAATCCAATTGCAAATGCATACACACGTGAATCAACAATGGTACCATTTTTACAATATTCATTCAAACGATCCAATAGTCCATTGATTGGTAATAATATGATTTCAATATCATTATCATTATCATTATCATTATCGTTGCCATTCTGTTGTTGATCTTGATTTTTAGGATTGTTTGCATGAAAAAAATTATTTTTAATCGGATCATCACCATCGATTATCATGGATACAAGTTTCACTTTACTATCGCATAGTTCTGTATATGAATAAAGAAAAAAAAAATTGCAAAAATTTTAGCTCGTTTTTGGATGTGTTTTGTTGTAACAAAAAAAAAATTTGACGATTACATTAATTACATACCTGGATCAGTAGCTGTTTGTGGTGTAATATATTTAATTTTAGTCGATCCATAGCCAGTATTTTCTTCAATCTCTTTAGCTGCTTCATCACCACTTTTATCGCTATAACGTTGTTCAATAATACGTGCTGGAAATTCCAATGCATACGATTTCAATGTAGGACGATATTGTCGTACAAGTATCAAACAATCGCATAGACAATGTCTTTTTAATATTGCAATACTTAATATTGTATCTTCTTGTACATCGTTACTGTTGTTGTTGTTGTTGTTATTGTTATTGACACCGACCATATAACGTTTATGAATTACTTCAGCAGATTTAGCTTTACCATTTTCATCTTCAAACGTGTATTCAGTCAATTGTATCGATTTACTTAGATACAACACCTCTTCTTTTACTGGTTTAATTGTACTGCTATTTTTACGTAATGATGGATGAATCGATTCCATCGATGTTGGTGAAATTTTTCTCACTGTTTCAACGTTGAGCATTTTTATTCAAAAAAAAAAAAAAAAAATTCGATGATGATTGATTGATGATGATCGTCAATTGCAAAAGAAGAAGAAAAAAAAATTAAACTTGAATCAAATTCGTCGTCGTTGTAGTTGTGTTGAGTTTGAAAAAAAACTTTAGTTTTTCAACATATGACGATTATTTGATGATCAAATGGTTTTTATACCCAAAAAAAAAAAATATCGATCTATGCTAATAACGAGAAAAAAAATCAGAAATTTAATTCTCATCATTATGAAATTTGAAAAAAAACACTTGTTATCAGCTACTAGTTGCTAGTTGCTTATTAATGATGTTCTGTTTTAGAGAAAATACTTGAACTTTGAAACAATTCCCGATTATACGTTATTTGTTCGTATTGCAAAGCATTATCATCATCATCATCATATTATTGAATGTTTGTTTGTTTGTTTGTTTGTTTGTCAATCATTGATGATTTGGATTTCTGGCTTTTTTTTTTTTTTTTGTTCGTTTCATTTCAAAATCAAATTTTATCTATCTGCAAATTTCTTGAGATTTTATTTTTTGTTTTTTTGTTTTCTTTCTCCTCATCATCATCGTCATTCATTGAACGAATCACCAAAAAAAAATCAATGCCTGTTTTTTGTTTCCCATACATATATGTGTGTATGCCTGTATGATTACAATCAAATGGGTGTGTTTGTGCCCATTGGTAGATGTAGAGAAAAAAAGCTTAATTTTCGATAAAATAATATCAATCAATGAAAAAAAAACAAAATTTTTGATAACCAGAAAAAAAACAAACTATGGAACCAGAGAAATGAAAAAAAAATCTACTACTGAATTTCCACCAACAAACATTGATTTTCTTTTTTGATTAGGCACATCACCAAAAAAAAATGGAGCCAATAAAATGAAAAAAAAATCTTTTTTCCTCTGCTCATCAATATTCAACCGATAATCGATAATGATTGTTTGATCAGAATTGAACGTTCTTTTTTTTGGTTTGAAAATAATAAGTAATAACAGAATTTGTTAATTAAAACGGAACAGAATATTCTTCAATTGAACACAGAAAAAAAACGAGGGAATTATGATTTTGAAGAAAACTGATAATGAAAAAAAAACACTCGTGGATGGCTATTTTGACTTTTTAAAAATTGATTTTAATGAATGATTTTTTGATTTTGATGACAAATTGAATCAGTCAATTAAGATGTTGTTGACCGACATTGACCCTTTATATCTATTTTGTCTGTAACTGATTTTGTGTGTACCTGCAAGAGGAGAAATATATCCATAAGAATATATGGAAACGCGATATTGAATGCCATGGATTTGGCATTCAATATTCAATATCGATGCACATACATGTATATGCACATAAAATCCAATGACAAATTGTCAGACGATTAATTTGATCAACTCATCCGATCGATTATTATCATTGTTTTTCGACAACAAAAAAATATGAAATTTTTTTCTCATTGCTGCAATCCAGATTCATTTGAAAACAACATGTAAAAAAAAACAAAATTCGCTATAAGAAAAAAAATAGAATGATGATGATGATGATGAGTACCAAGTACATTCATCATGTTTTTTTTCTATCCATCTATCATCACCATAATTATTATTAGTTTACATTAATCATCAATGACGCCGATTTTTGTTTTCTTACTGTCATCCGATCGAAATCTTTGCGTTTGTGTGTGTGCGTGTGTGTGTGTGTGTAATATTTTCATCCGATTCACATGGAAAATAAAATATGGCGCCAATGATCTGATCGATTAAAATCAAATCGAATGAATGAATGAATGAATGTACATGATTACGAACAAATGTCACGTTTTCCAAACTTAGTGAAACAAAAAAACCTACGTAATTCATTGCAATTTGTTATTTAAAAAAATCTTAGTAAACAAATAACTTCGAAAAAAAATATGATGACATTTTTTTTTATTTTTGATTCCACTACATTATGGAGTGATTCCATTACAATTTGATCTTTGATTTCTATACCGATCGATTAAAGTCACACACATCATCAATTGATTGCCGAAATTTGCAGGACAACAAAAAACAAATATGAAAATAAAGGGCAGAAGAAATTTGCATGTTTTTTTTTGTCACTCGTCATTATTATATTCATCTAATTATCATCAACGTGATTTGTGGCATTGATCATCATCATCATCATCATCGTCAATTCCATATACCGTATATTATACACGTATACATTTGAGCGGGTTTTTTTTTACTGCAGATCAAAAATCTATTTATACAATTTTATCAATTATCAATTTGAAATCGATAAATTTTTTTGTTCACAGAAAAATTGCTCAACTTCAAAAAAAAAAAAAATTTCGATATTTTCTCAGCCACAATGACTCATTCAATCATGACAACAACATCATCATTTGTTTTCATCATCAATAAAGTTTGTTACGAGAAAAAAAATGAATTTTATTTTGTTATGAGTGAGCGATCATTGATTCAAACGCAAGACGGAAACGTAAATTTCAATGAATTCTTACATGACTAACGAATAAAGTGGTGACAAACAACAAAAAAAGGTCAAAGACATTCAAAACACGCGCACACACACACGCACAAACACATGCACTTGGATGAGAATAATTGAATCTTTTATGGAATTTCCAAGAAATGAATTTTAAATTAAAAAAATCATTGAACTCTTGAATAAATCTTTTTTCCTGTAAACCATAAACCATAACCATTACAAACGAATCAAAATGCAGTAAAAAAAAATTAAAGTTCATTTATTGGGATGGATGCCAGAAAAAAAACACTACAATTCTATAATTTTGTAGAATATTCTACATATGAATTGAAGATGGTGACGACAATGACGATGTTAAATCTTGAATTTTTGGCTTTTTGACTTTTTTTTGTTGCACTATGAATCGCACACTCACACACACATGATTATAAACTTTTCCATTGAATTCCGAAAATAACTTTTTTTCTCTTGTTGTGTGCATCATCATCATCAATTTTTTTTTATTGTTTCTTCATCTTTACAGAATCATTATCAACTTGATATATTCAAAGGACAAACATTTGTATTTTTCCATCTTCATTCATTAATGTTCATTTCATCGTCATCATCAACAACAACAACTGCTACTACAACAACAACAAATTTCGACATTAACATCATCAACCAACGAGAAAACAATCGATAAAAAAAAATCAACGGACAACATAGAGAACAGAGAAGAAAAAAAAACCATAAATATCCATCGATTAGCAACAACAACAACAACAACAACAAAAGGCATGTATATTGACAATTAAGATGAAAAAAAACCCAAAACAACGACAATTTAATTTCAACGAATCATGTGTGTTGATTTTTTTTTCTTTTTTTTTTTTTTTTTTTTCAATTTTCTACCACCAAAATCTTCATCAATCGATAATGATGATTGAATAAAATTTTCAATCAGAAGAAGTGAAAAAAAAAATAAATAAATTGATGATTGGTGTTTGATTGTGAATTCAAATGTCCGCATTATGATTTGGATTTTCCCAGCTTATGCTCAATGATTCATATCTACGGATAAATAAAACACTAACGGTTAGTTTCAACTGGATTTTTGCGGTTTTCCATTCCAAATTTCCTTAGATATATTCAGTTTGTTTTTGTTTATCCGGTTAGTTTTTTGTTTTGTTTTTCATTTCAAGTTTCTTGATTTGATATTAATCAATATATTGTGTATACAAAAAAAAAAAAATTTTGTGATTTGAATGATTGTTTTTTCCATCACATCCTGTTTCGAATGGATTTTTTTTTGTTACTTTTACAGAGGCTGAAAAAGTTGTCTAAACATTGTGTGTGTGTTGATTCTGGATTTGAACGAATAAAACACATGGAAAACATTTTTTTTCCTCTCACTCACTTGTTTTCTGGTGATGCTTGAAAAAGAAATCTGTGTGTGTGTGTGTGTGTTTTTCAATAATTTTTGACACCCGATAAATATAATGAAAAAAAATGTTTCGATTAGATTTGTTTGTATCATAGATATATCGTGATGATATATATTTTTAGTGAATCAAGCAAATTTTGGTCCATCATTTTTTTTCTTGCCTATCATCATTTGATTGATAATCGATATCAAAATTTCATTAAACATTGATTTTCTTATCCTGAAGAATAATAATAATACCATATATCAACGACGACAAAAAAAAAAAAAAAATACTGGTAGTACAGAGTACCCAATCACTATGTAAAGATTCAGACAGAATCATCAAAAGAAAGAAAGAAAAAAAAAATTTTTTTTCCATTGCAATAAATGGAAATCATTTATCAATCAATCAATCAATCGATCGATCATGATTATTATCAACGGTTTTTGTTTTCATTTATATTGCCAATTTAAATGTGCGTATTTTTTTGTTATCAATATTACAGTTTAAAATGTAGTTGATCACATTTTTTAGCACAAAATTTCAAACATAAACAACAACAACAACAACAACAGCGACGGGAATTCAAGTGAATTGATTTTCTTTTTATTTTTTTTTTTTTTGTTTTATTGATTTTTTTTCATTTTTTTTCTGTTTTGTTTTGTTTTAACAGCTCAATTGAATTTTGAAAAATTTTTAAAAAAATAACAACAATGAATCGGTCAAATAATAATAATAAATCTTGTATTTTGTTTGCTTATTCAACAATGATGATTACAATTTTTATGGCAGCAGCAGCAGCATTAGTAGTAGTAGTAGTAGTAGTATCTGAATCGATTTCAAATGTTAATGCACAGGAAATGACAATGACAACTGTACCATCGTCATTATCATCGATGGCCAAAACAACCACATTATTACATATGAAATTAATGGATAATGATGATGATGATGATGATCATAATCAAGATCGAATGATTCGTCGTAGATTGATTATAAGAAGAAGTCAACAACAACAACAACAACCACAATCAACACCTCAGCAAAAATTGCCAATAACAACAACAACAACAACAACAAATCTAGGTAGATCTATTTATGGATTACGTGAACCATTCAGTTTTCAACAAGATAATGATTCAGATGATCTAACATCATCGGATCAACAACAACAACAAACATTTGAAATAACAAAAAAAATGGACACAATGTTTGAATTGATTGAAACTTCATTCATAAAAACAATGGAAAGAATTGATAATTTGGAAAGAAAAATGGAAACAATGCAAACAAATTTTTTTGAGTTGATTAAACAAAGGTTTGCACATTTGTTTGTTTGATTGAATGAATGAATGAATGAAATCAATATTGATTTTTTTGTGTTTTTTTTTTGATTTAGCCATAAAGAATCGATTAATCATGGACATCATCATCAATATGAATCAGAACCAATAATAAATAATAGTAATAATAATAATTATCCATCCATTTTGAATAAAATGTACAGCATTCATCAACAAACATATCAGATTTGTAAAGATGCACTTGTATTACCTAAAGATAATGTGCCAAATTGTCCAACAATGACCGCTGTTTGTTCAATGATAAGACAATATCGACAAGATAAACATAATAATGATGGATCGGATTCAACTGTTACTGGCAGCAATAATAGTGGCAGCAGTAATAGTGGTAATCGAAGACAAGATCTTGTTATTTCAGCTGGAAATGTTCATCATAAAAATTATCGTGATCATGTTAGTGATTTATTGTTAGACAAACGGCCAATTGGCCGTAGTCATGAATCTGATGATGATTTAGATGCTGAAGCTATGCGTGAAGTGTTTGGATTATTTGCCAATTGGACATTGGATCAATATGTACAACGAATGCATCGTAATGTTGCTGAAGAATTGAATGTATTCAATTTTCAAATTAAAGAAAAATTTCAAAGTTTATTCGAAAAATTCACCAAAATGGATATGTTACTTAAAGTTAGTGATCAATTATCGGCATCAATGTTGGACATACGTGATCAACTTTATGAAGATCATCTGACATTGGATAAATTGTCCGATCGATTACAATCATTAGATCAACAACAATCAAATAATAATAATGATGATAAGCAGCTAAAATGTCCGGCAACCATCGTCGATGATAATCATGAGACAATGAAAAATGTGACAAATTTACAAATCAAAAATTTATTAGAAGAATATTTTGAAAAATTTCTTGGTCATCTAAATAATTCATTACCATTGACATCGGTGAAAACATCATCAAAACGACAAACATCGACCGGTGTTATAAAATCTAAAAATGAATCAAGTACGACAGTCAAATTTCTTATATACGATACAGCTAATGTACAGAAAGCTACACCTGCATCGCCAAGTTATAAATCAATATCGATCAATGATCAAACAGTTACTGCACCGGTATTCGAACCACAAACACGATCACGATTACAGAAATCTAAATGTTCAAGAGATGCTAATGTATTGTATCCAAGTTCCTGTGATGAATTACGTCGTTATGGTGCTACCTGTAATGGTGTTTATGTAATATTAACATTTGGTTCAACTATGAAACATGTTTATTGTGATATGGGTCATAATGATGGTGGCTGGACAGTCATATTACGTCGTGGTAAATTTAGTTCATCCAAATATTTGCTTAATTTTGATCAAAATTTCAATCATTATCGTGCTGGATTTGGTGATATGCATGCCGGTGAATTCTGGATTGGTTTAGATTATGTTCATCTGGTTACAAGTAATGAACCACATCTTCTTCAAATTGATCTACTTGATATTGAAGATAATTATGTTTCAATGGTTTATGATGGATTTCTGATTGGTGGCAGAAATGATGGCTATCGATTCTATGTAAGTGAATGATGAATCATTTTAAAATAATGATAATGATAATAATCAATTACAATCAATCTTACAAAAAAATTCTTTAGGTAAAAGGAATACGAAAAGATCTTCTACTAAGCAGTAATCCAAATTGGAATATAACCGAATTAGCATCGATTGTATTACGACATAATCGTACACAATTTGTTACTGCCGATCATATAAATCCAATACAATCATCATTGCCAACAACAATGGCGAATAAACAGCAAACATTTTATCGTGAATGTGCCACATTGTTTCGTTCTGGTTGGTGGTATATTGCACCATCATGGTCATCATCAATCTATGATAATGTACCATTAATAGATTCATGTCGCCATTTAAATCAATTTCAATTAATGGCACCATTAAATATACATCATGAACATTTATCAGTCAAATGGAATAATTGGCATCATGATGATGATCAACATACAACAAGACAATTACGATATATTATGATGAAAATACGTCCAAATAATCGTTAATTGAAAATGATAACAATGTAATTTAATGTAATTCATTTATTTTAACTAGTCTATACCAAATCATCATCATTTTATTTTATTCACCATCTTTGATTTTGTTCATTTAAATTACTGAAAATCATCATTAATTTCGATTCTCGCACACACACACACACACATATATATATATAAAATATAAAATAAAAACAGAATTCAAAAAAAAAATTAGCTGACTTTGATGAATGATAATAATTAAAATTCCAAAGACACAAAAAAAAGATCATCATGATGATCAAATCCGAATAAAGAGATTTGAAAAAAAGACAACTTAAAAAAAACAAATAAGCTAAAAAGCCAGAAAAAAATTATCGGTTATGTAAGAAAAAAATCTGAAAAAGGTAGTAGCAGTAGAATGGTGAATAAGTCTCAAGGTAGAATTTCTCATAGAAATAAATTGAATTGATTATCGTGTTGAACATGGTAGATTCTTCAATGTCGTAATGGAATTTTTCCATATGCCCAAAGATTTGGCCGTTCAATTGATTGTCGCCAAAGATTTCGTTCTTCATTACTTGCACCTGAAATGATTGAATTTTTTTTAAATTAAATTTGGACAAAAATAGACAAACCTTCATGATTAGTCAAACGAATGCTTCCCAAATAAGTTTTCGATGATTTATCCAACCACATGATGGCGATTTCCAATTCTTTGACATTCATGTCATTTCTGTTTATATTGTTGAACACAATTGTTTCATTCCAACGTGGACATTGGCCCATTTTTACTGTTCGAGTTTTATGGCGATCATCTTTGTTACGTTCGGGTTTCAGCATTCTTTTATTTTTGGCAATAAATAATGAATGATTTGTTAGTGTGAGAAAAAAATTTCATTTAAATAAGAAACATACACTTTGCAATAGGCATAGCCATTGATGTTGTATTGTGTAAGATTCAAATCATCAGCTTCTTTGATCAAAACATGCAATGAACCGACGCCGGTTCCATCAACGGAGGATGAAATGGCTACATCTTCATGTTTGATTGCAACAAACAAACTGCCTTTAACATGTACTGATTGGCATTTGATTTTGGTTGGTTGCTGGAAAAAAATATGGGTTATCTTGATGACAAGGTCTGATTTTAAAAATCAAAATCACGTTCAACTTACATGAAGATCATGCCAGATTCGTGTCTGAATGGAATTAAGCATTACTGATTCATTCAAACGAATCAATGTTTGTCCAAGCAATGTGTTACGGCCAAATGTATCATTATTCCATAGACTTACACTCAATTGTCCGGAAGCAAATTCACGCCATTTACCTTGAAATCGTAATATCTCATTATATTCAACTTCATACAATGATCCAGCACTGGTATCAACTTTCAATGGTTTTTTAATCTTTGTCTTCTTTTTGAATGCTTTCTCCTGTTGATGATCAACAATAATGTAAGCCTTAATGTATCTAAATGATGATAATAAATTGATAATTAATAATAAAAAATCAATAAATGATCAATAAATAATAATATATACACATACAGATCATTTTTATTCTTCTTGACCATATTCAAATGGCCACGAAAAATGGTAATCGTAAGTGAATTAAGTTTCGTTTCATAATAGATTGATAGACAAATTTTTCCAATAATAGCCATTGTTGTATTGTCAGAATTTTCTGATGAATCTTCCAATTGCTTTTTACAATTTTTTTTTGGGAATTATAGTGAATGAAAACAAAAAAAAAAAAAAAAATTTGAAATTTGAGAATGGCGCATTGCGCACGCACACACACACACACATGTTGTGAATCAATTCAATCATTCAATTCAATTCAATCATCAAGATAACAAAATAAAAAAAAAAATACTTACATTTTGAATGTTATCAGCAACAGGTAAATTTTCTTTAAAATCACAATCTTTATTATTATATGAACTAATTAACGATGTTTTTGTTGATGATTGTTGTTGTAGATTATTATTATTATTATTACGAAAACTTGAAAATTTATTACCAAATGGTTTGGCCAATATATAATGACTACTAATGCTACTACGTAATGTTGTCGAGGATGTCGACTGTGTTGTATGACTAGAAGATGATGGTGATGATGATGATGATGATTGTTGTATGACTGTTTTCGATGATGTCGGTATTGTTATAGTGGGAGTGGATGTCGATGTCGCGATGATGATGATAATGATGTCGATTTTGATGATGAAATAATATAACTGGCTCTAATTTCATTATTATTACCTAAAACGTTTGTTCTATTTTCAATTGTCGATACCTGAATTGATTCAAAAAAAAAACAAATATTTTATCGTTACTTTTCAAGGGGGAAAAAATCAAACAAATTACATATACATTTTTTTCACAAATAATACACGATAATTTAGGACGCTGAAATCCAATCGAACTTGTTGCTGTTGTTGATGATGATGATGATGAAGAGATTTGTGATCCCGATAATGATCGCTGTAGTCGTTGATTTCCTTTCATACGTCCGGCTGGTGATAGACCTTGTGAAAAAAAAAATTTTAAATGTTAATAATTTTAACAGAAAAAAAAAATAAAAGGAAATCTAAACATTTTACCATTCAATCGTGATATCAATGGATGATGATTACAATCACAAACATTTTCTCGATCGCTATTTAGATTTTTTTCTGATAATTGTCTTGCAGAATTTCGACGGAAATTATTTCCATTCAATTCATCATTAGTATGCAATTGATTCAATTTGATTGTTTCAAGATTTTCAGATTGATTTGATCCATTTTCATTATTATTATTATTCGTCATTAATTGTGGTGTTGATTTTGAATACGAAACTTTTCCACCATCAATGGAATCATTTTCATTGCTTGAAACATGATCACCGTTATTTATTGAATCACATACTGTATTACGTTGCTGGCGTTTATTAGTAGAAGATCCATTCAGATTTGGTTCACTCAATGATTTGGATCCATTTTTATCATTTTGTCTAGTATCAATGGAAATTTTTTTCCGTTTTTTCGATGATTTAAATGGATTTCTGATCATTTCATAAATATGATCCAATGTTGAATTGCTGAAATTTTTAAAACTATTACGATGTCCATTCGTGGATGAATTATTGGTTGGCACTTTAGATGATTTTGTTTCATCGATTTTTTTCGATCCATTATGACTAGTATGATCAGATGATGATGATGATGATGATTTTTGTTGTAAATTCTGTTGCATTTGAAGCTGTTCATGTGAACAGCTTCGTTTTGGTATAGTGGAATGTTCATTTTGTTTATTATTTTCATTACTCATCAATGATTGATGTGTATCATCACCATGTATTGAATGATTATTAGCATTATCAATCATTGATTCATTTGCCCAACTACTAACGCTTATTTCTCCGTTAATAGATGATTTTTTCATATTATTATCCGATTCTTTAGGAATTGGTGAAATTTTAGCCAGAAAACTTCGATTCAATGGATTTGAAACACGAAGAAATTTATTCAATTTATTTGTACAATTATTCATCATTGTTGTTGCTGATGATGAAGATTGTGATGAAGAACGTGTTTCAATATCCACATTATCATCACAATAATCATCCATATCATCATCATCATCATCATCATCATCATCTGTGATTGATGATGATGATTTTTTTCCATGCCAATCACCTGATTGTTGTCGTTGTTGTTGATTATTTATATGTAATATTGTACGATATTCAGGATTCTTTGATTGATGACGAAACAAATCGATTGGTTCAATATTTGATTGTAATACACGTATTGATGAATCATTATTTGATAAAAATCGTTTTGGTTGATTGAAAATTGATTTTTTCGGTAAAGATTTCAAAACTTTTGATTGTTGTTGTGTAGATGATGATGTTGATGATAAAATACCGGTAATGAAACTATTTTCAACAGTAGTTGGAACTAATCTCCCATTGATAGTAACTTTAATGATCGTTTTACCCGATGATGATGCGGATGATGATGATGATGAAGATTGATTTTTCAATATTGATGCTGGCCCATATAAACGATTGAATTCATATGACCAAAAATGATGATCAAATAAAAGATGATTGATCTGTGTATAGCGATAAATCTTTTCAATCATAAATGTTATTAGAAAATATTCAAGCTGTAAACGTGAATAACAACATAAAGTTTTACGATTGTCATCATCGTCATCATTATTGATATATTCCCGTCGTGATAGTCGATCAATTATTCGTACAATCGACAATCGATCATCGTCATCATCATCAACAGCTTTGTTATCGTTATTGTTGTTGTTGTTGTTATCATGAATGGCTTTCAAATGTTTTCCACTATTGTAGTAACAATGGTCATCATCGTCGTCGTCATCTTTGCCGTTGTTGTCAATATTCGACAATCTTAACATCAAAATCATTTTAATGATGAATCTTTTTAAATCTAAACAATATAAACAACTTTGCTGGTCAAGATGTTTGAAAATTATTGACAAATCATCATCATCATCTGTTTGATCATCGGTAATTGTCATTATTTTAGAATATTTTATTGATGAGATCATTTCGATGAGTAAATTACATAAGCTTCCGATTTTATCAAATTTTCGTCTATTGATTGGATGCTGCTGCTGTTGTTGTTGCTGCTGCTGATGACTATGATCACGACTATTCAAATGGTCAACATTACCACTTATTAATGAAAATGATTTGTTGTCCATCAATAATTTCACTTGTTGATGGTCCTAATGTTATTGAATAAAAAAAATTTTAGAAAAAAAATTCATTTGAAAATAATCAAAACTTAGTGATACCTGAGATTTTTCCACAATTGTTGTTGTCGTTTCCAATAATCCACTTGTGAAATATCGTTCCAATTTCGATGATAATGCGATTGAATCATTGAATGGTGGTACATTATCCAATTCTTCTTCCATTTCATCTTCAACATAATCATCGTCTATATCTAGATTATTATTATTCCAACAATTAGAAAATTTTTTTCCATCAGAAACATGATGATGATTTTCATTTGTTTGACAATTTTTAATTCATTTTCCATAATTTGATTATCTCCATCACCATTGGTAGTGATGACAATTGAAAATTGTTGCTGTGCAACCTGTTGCTGAGAATCATTATCATGAACGAATTTCGATGATGATGATGATGATTTATCTTCATTATTATCTAATGAACTATTTAATGATTGTTGTTGTTGTTGAACACTATCGGTTTGTATAGTCATCGATGTCGATGTTAATGATGACAATGTTTGTAATGAAGATTCATTTTCTGATTCTTCATAAATAGTATGTAAACTATATACTAATGGATTACCATATATCGATCCATTTGGACCACCAGGTATGGCTAACATATGTTGTTGTATTTGTTGCTGTTGTTGTGGTAAAAATGTTGGTAATCCATATATACGTGCATCGGATAATATATCCGTTTGATGTTCACCATTCTGATAAATCATTGTTGTTGGATCTATTATCTGTAAGATGCCATTACCATCCATTGATTGTTGATGATTGTTATCATCTTCATAAAAATATTGTATCCGATTATTATATGGATCACCATCATCATCATTATTTTCATCTACAATTGAATCAATATGATTATAATGTTGTTGTTGATGATGTGGATGATTATCAAAAATCATCATTTCTGGAACACCATACATATTGTCATTTGAATGGTCAACTAAATATTGTTGCTGATGTTTGTCATAGAATTGTTCATAATCATCATCATAATCATCATTATAATTGGCATAGATTCCATCATCATCATCATCATCATTCTTATGTTGATGATGACGATGAAAATATTGTAGCTGTTGTTGAAACAATTGTCTATTCAATGGATTTGATTCTTGATCATTTTCATCATTTTGATTTATAGTAGAATCAATAAGATGATGGTCATCATTTTCATTATTTAATAACAATTGTTGTTGATTTAAAACAGGTATATCAACTGGTTGATTTTGTATGTTAACATTATCAGATGATGATGATGATGATGAAGCTGCTGTTGCTGCTGCTGCTTTTGTTGTTGTTGTTGTTGCTGTTGATGTTGATGACATGATGATGATGATGATGATCAATAGCAATATTTTTGGACATTATTTTCAAAGATATTTTTGTAACCATTCAACAACAACAACAACAGCAAAAATTGTTCATAGAAATATCATACACACACACACAGATTGTACCAATTGGATATCACTGGTGATGATGATGATGATGATGAAAAAAAAACTAAACAAAAAAAAAGAAAAGAAAAATTATTTATGATTTTGGAATTGAAAAGAAAAGAAAAGAAAAGAAAAACAACAACAAAAATACATCAAGAGGCAACAACAGAACAAAAAAACTTTAAAAACTAAATTTAACTTTTCTCCATCTCTCCATCTCTCTCTCTCGCAACATTTCGAATGGGAAAAAAAACACAAAACAACAACAACAACAACAAAAACAAAACAGATAGGAAAATTGAAAAAAGAATTTTCTTTTGTTGAAAACTAATCGATGAATTTTATATATATAACTTGTTTAAATCGAATTTGACGACACGTGGAAGCGAAATGGATGAATGACTGACTGGCTGACTGACTGACGACAATGACAAATAATAAACCATAAATGAATTGAAACACAAAACAGAGAAAAAAAAACACGTAGCTGAAAATATATTATATATGTGAAACAACACAAATTACATTCATCAGTCAACCGATTAATTAATTAATTAATAGCCAAAAAAAATGCTTGGTTTTTTTCAAAATTGGCAAACACTCACTTTTTTTTCTGTTGTCGTGTTTTTTTTTGTATTTATTTCATTCACTTCACTATCAATCAACAGGTAGGAAAAAAAACGTGGTGAAATTTTTTTACAAACAAAAAATGAAACCAGCCAACGATCAAATAAGCATCAAA